CTAACTGATCCCTTAATTTTCGTTTACTACGTAGCAAATATTTCCATTCGATATTAAGAAAAATAGAGAATTTATCCAGGAAATACCATTAGAAAACAACTGCATTTGTGAACGTATTCTGAGAAATTGATAAAGATATTTATTGTATACATTCATTATTTAATATTTCTGTTTATCGTAGAATTGTTCGGAGAAATGTCGTTCACGGAATCTTAGTTTGTTGCTTTTTACGTTCAAGGTATTTAATATTATTTATTAACAATTCATTCAAGTTCAAACATATCACAATGTGAGGTTTTTCGATTATAAGATTTAAATTAAAAACCTAAAATGTATGCATGCTTCTCCCATGTCCACAATAGCTATATCGGAAAATAAAGGTACTAAAATGGGACAAAGGATACAAATGAGGTGAATTATTTTAGTTGAATTGAAGAAAATTGAGAATGTACTTGTAAGATAAGCGGAGTTAATTGTATTCGGAAATTAAAAGTCCTTGTTCATTCAGACTACCTAATTCGTTAGTAATATGGATCATGTTGGGAATAGAAGCTGATGTGCCACCACATCTGTTGATGCGTTACTGAACTGAAAGTCGGTAAGAGTGGAAACTACTGTAATTATTCGCTAGCTGGTACACAATCGTGATATGTACACTGTGTGATCATATTATTTGAGCCACTTTGAAAAATTTGCATTTTTGGTTTGTTACAATGTCATTATTTCCTTTTCCTAAGTTTCAAACATTCTCGACTAAGTTGTGGTCTGGTGAATTTCCAGACCTATCGGAGCCTTCTTTGGTCGTCTGAGAGAAAAAGTCAGTTCCTAGTTTTCTTATTTCAAGGCTGAGAGTCAAGTGCATGAAAGAAGATATACTGCTTATTCAGAAACCACTCCAGGAATAATTTTTGTTCGTTTCAGAGACAAAATTGCTTTCTTCCATTAAATTTTAATAATGCCCTTTGTTCGAAATTCTTTTTGAAACTCAATCAACTTTCGTTCTTTCAAATACTAACATTTCGAAGACATGGATACCAAGACTCGTAATCATATTCATTTCTATTTTCTCTCCTTCCATGTTTCTAAAACAAGTAGAGATGTAAAATATGAAAATGTTAGTCTAGAAAACAAGAATTGATTTAAAGTTTTGAAAATGGTTTAGCACCCCGAAACAATTGCCTAGAATTACCAATTGAATACCTGAAATATATATTTGTGAGACTAATCAAATGCTTTTTATTCAATCTATTAAACTATCTTTCACCAAGAGATCAGCGAATGTTCAATCAACTCAGATAATAACTTTATTCTGAAAAATAAGTGATAATATTAGCACAATCAAACAAAATCTAGAGAATCGAAATCCAGAAAACTGTAAATAGAAGACTTTTTCAGGTTCTTCTCATTTAACTCCGAGTAAAACATTCTAGATACTGAATACTATGTATAAAAATGAAATATTTTGTAGATAAACAACTGTCTCTTCAAAATATACTTACAAATTTATGTTTGTTGCAATAAGACAGTATATTCTCCTATAGAAGTAGACATACCTGTTTCAAAAGTAGGTGGAACAGAATTAAAAACGTAGAAACTCAATGGTTGATGAGGTATCGATCGGTTGAAAAGTATCGATACTTGGAGAAAATTAATATCCATAATGTTATGTGGTATGATTGTGTCTTCGATAATTTAGAATATGTTTGTAAATGAAAAGTTGTCTCCGTAACCACTGAGGTAGGTGGGCAGAATTAGAACTTGGGTTCTCTGTTAGTTTCCGACAAAAGTTCTGCCGTACCATTCAAACTATCAATTAGATTAGACACAAACGATCAAAATATTGTTTATAAGTTTTAGATCACTGTTAGATTTTTCAATAGCTCTCGTGTTTTGTCTTTGTGACTATTAAATTTGGTCGGATTCACGATATCATCACTTTTATCGCATTTTGAAATGCAGGATGAGTGCAGTGCACTCGGAACAATATTGTGAATATACCGAATCATGACTACATCTTTGATAAAATATGCTGTTATCGCTGGAATGGCTCAAATATGCCAAGGTATATAATCCAGTCTCTGGTAATTACTCTTATTTTTCAAATCTCAGCTTACAGGTCAAATTTTGAAAGACTATAAACGTAACGTATTTCTTAGTTTAGTCGTCTACATCTACTTAATGACACTTGTTCTCCTTTGATTGGTATACAACCTAATATTTTTTTTACACGGAGAATGTATAGTACTCCTTACCCATAACCACCATACTACAAATGAATTAGTGATTCAAAACATTCTGATGATTGATCTCAACTCCAAGCGGATTGGAGATCTCGTTCATATCACATTGTTAGAAATCTCGAGGGCAGTAACCGGGGAAATTCAATAAGGCACCGATCATGAAGAACGCTAACGTCAACATACGGCGAATAGAAGAATTCCATCGATTTCTTAATCAATTCCATTTGCGAGCTATATGGACCGATCTTAGGGTATATCTAAGCTATCTGAGCGACCTCTATTTGCTGTTTCGCATTCCGAGCCTCCAGTACAGTCATGAATACAATGAATAGATCGAACTTGGATTTATCCTGATATTACCAGTCGTTGTTAACTATTTTGTTCTTAAACGCTGATATGTCTCGGACGTCTTCTCTATTACCCACAGGTGTTAGTGAAGATCTCTCTATATGTATTGGTTTAAAGTCAGGTTAAGTCGTGGACCTAAGGGCTATAAGTTGTTATAAAAATCATCATGGGTATTAAACAGAGTTTGAAATCTCAATTAAAAGAATAATAATATACATTTTTCGATACATTATCCAAATCGTAGCACTAACATTCTGAAGTTTGATGTTATTTATGTTGTTGAGTTATTATAATTGATTTTTTGAGCGTAGTTTTTTCAATTTGCATCATATATTCAAAGTTTTTATTGAAATTGATAACTTGACCTTTGGCATTTATATTTCGAAAATAATTCATGTAAATGTTGTCCGCGGCTCCGTATCAAATGGTCCATTCGGAAGGTCCAATTTTGCGTCACTTTTTCGAGTATTTCGGCCTGTATCTCACGAACTACGCTTATTTTGTTATCCTGTAAGGCTTCAATCGTGTTCGGCTTGTCCACATGTACTAACGACTTCACATAACCCCACAAGAAATAATCCAAAGGCGTCAAATCGCATGATCTTGGCGGCGAATTCACAGCACCATTTCGAGAGATAAGCTAATCACCAAATTCATCCTTCAACATATCCATTGTTTCACGAGCTGTGTGGCATCTGGCAACGTCTTGATGAAACCACATGTCAACCAAGTTCATCTCGGCCAACTGGGACAAAAAAAAGTTACGTATAATGGCTCGATATCGTTCGCCGTTGACGGTAACGTTTCTTCCAAGGTCGTCTTTGAAGAAAAATGGACCGATGATGCCACCAGCCGATAAACCACACAAAACTGTCGTTTTTTCGGGATGCATCGGTCATTTTTGTATGGTATGTGGCTCACTCTAGATGCGACAGTTTTTTTTATTTACATATCCGTTAAGCCAGAAATGGACCTCATCGCTGAACACAATTTTTCGATAAAACAACGGATTTTCATTAATCTGTTCTAAGGCACATTCACTAAAATTAGACGTTGCGGTAGGTCATTTGGCTTCAATTCTTGCAGAAGTTGAATTTTATTATAGGCTTTCAAACCCAAATCAACACGTAAAATTTTCCATGTGGTTGTGTAACACATGCCCAATTGCTGAGAACGGCAACGAATTTCAACATTTCAAGATCCTCATTAACACTGTACGCTACGGCTGCAATATTCTCCTCAGTACGCACTGTACGCATACGAGAAAATGGTTTAATGTCCAACAAAGTAAACTTTGTGCGAAATTTGGTGATAACAGCATGAATTGTTGGTTCACCAGGTCGATTATGACGACCATAATATGGTAGTAACAAACAATACACATTTTCTCAGAGCACGAATTATGATAGTAAATATCAACAATTTACAAGCGTTGCTCGTTTGTGAGTCTTTTCATGATGAAATGGCAGAGCATACTTAAAACTTTTTACTTTGACAGATGTCGTTTGGATGCAATTACCAATCAGTGCCGCCAACTTGAGAAACTTAACTTTTAAAAAATCACCCGTTAGTAGATTCACTCAATATTACATGTACCAGCCGTTTATATACATTGATCCCAAAAAAGTAAAATTACGTAAACACACAGACAGAAAATTGAAATGAATTATTGTTATCTATTATTCTGAAGCTATTCTGATCTAGTTGATGTTCAGAAATGGCCATACATTTTTGGTAAATGACTTTTAAATTGACTGGTTGTTAAAACGAAATTCGATATTCTAGTGGGCGTGTTGAATACTTCATTCGATATGTCGATTTGACCCTGTATTCATTGCAAAATCAGAAAAATTGATTGTTATCTATCCCCAAGTATTATATTAGGAGTTCGTAATCAGTGGGGTGTTATGTTCCCCGAGGGGCGTAAATAGCTGACAAAAGAAACTCAAATCGTTTGTAATGTGGAAAGGAAAATTGATTGAAAACAAACTCTTCGTTGTAATTCTTAAAAAAATCATTGTGTGGCTTTCAATAATCATATTCATCTTCTCACTTGTTGAATAATTGTCTGTTTTCATGTGTTAATTGTGTATTACTTTTTGTGTAACTGTTAATAGTTTATAGAATATTTTGTGTATTGTTTTAATTTTAATAAAATGAGAGGACAATATTATAAATCATCATACAGGATAATTAATTGGCATCAGGAGTTTATTGATATCCTTCGAGATAATTTTTCATTCAATTTATTGTCATGTAATCGAGATTCTTGGTTTTATTTTAGTTCATTGTTTTTTGTTTCAATTCTGTGGACCTCCAGTGTTATCGCTGGTTCCGATCGGCCAATGGACTTGTAATCACTGTACATTACTCATCATTAAACATTGAATCATAGACAATCACATACGTCCATGCCTTCACCGGGGCTCGAACCCGATTCCTACCACACCACAGTCGGATGTTCTCCCGACTAAGCCACGGAGACTGGGTTTTTATGCATTGTATTTTCAACATAAATAATAACAATAATGAGATACTAACAAAATTTAATAATAATAAGGAGGTTTCGCTTATCTCTTGGTGAAACATTATGTTAAAAACAATAAATTAAAATTAACACACTTGGCTCAAGTTTCTAATATATTTAGTGAAACTTGAGCCAAGTATGTTAATTTTAATTTATTGTTTCTATCCAAATTTTGTACGAATATGCCCACCTGATGGAAACATTATTACTAGTATCTATAATAGAAAACAATTGTCTCATTTTCACTTTTATTCACAAGTTACTCTGTCAGATGATGTATTTAAACTACCAATCTTTCAAAAAAAATTATAAAATACGAATTTGTAAACATTCTTCGATGAAGCTACATTGTACAAAAGTTTAACTTTATTATAACTGTGCATTGTAATCCCACCATCAATTAGCCCTCTCCGAATCGACTGCTGCTTTTGTTCATTCTTTTCTGCCTTGAGGACTTCGGTTTCCAATTTTTTTTTTAATTTCTATAATGTCGTTTGTCCAGAGAGTTGGTGGTTTCCTTCTGTTTTTTCTATAGGAATTAGGTCTGTGTTGAAGTATTTCTTGAGATTCTATCCCACCATGCAAGCCTCATATTCTACCTACTTCCATTTGAGTTTCGCTGTATGTACGACCACATCAGTCACGCCTGTTCTTTTGCGTAATTCTTCGTTTCGAATGTGATCACATAACGAAACAGCAAACATCGATCTGTGCATTTTGCACTGCGCTCTCCAGTTTTTAGCTTGCTTCATAAGGGTTAGCGGTTAGAAGCCGTAGGTCATGACCGGCAAAACACATTGAATGGAAAAACGTTCTCAAGCATATTGGAAAATTTTTTCGTTGATCGTCTGTAAGTTTGCTATAAGCTGCCCAGCAGAGCATAATTTTCGGTTCATCTCGCATGTTTGATTGGTTTCCAACAGATTTATGTCTTAAATATGTGTATATAATATTTGTATGCCAGTTCTACTTTGGAGTTTTCTTCAAATAGCTTGTTACTAAGGAAGGTTTGTGGTAAATGTTCACTTTAAGACCTGTAGGGTAAACCTCTAGAATTTCCTGCAGCATTACCCAACTATCAAATGCATTGAAGTAATTTGCTCTTTCAAAATTCAACCGTATTAGTCTCTCTCAAATTAGTTATAGGTCAGTAACTATGACCTTCATAACATTTATCCAGCATTAGGAACATGACAATTCCATATGCCGAGTTGTTGATTCCGTAGTTACACAGTTCGTGTAAATTTCGAATTTCCATTAAATCTGCAGAGAAACTCCTTTCATCGGTTTAAATTATTGTATTAACTTCCGTTTACCTGAATGCGTCTGGCGTATCAGGTCCAATTTTAATTGAAGATAAACGAAATCGTGGTGCCATCCACAGCGACTTGATGCCAGAACCCAGAATTAACCATTTGGTCCTCAACAACCAAATGTCCTCAAAATAATGTAAGATTTTTAGCGATAAAACGCGAAAATTTCTTGAAATGTAACATTTCGCGATTGAATACTCTACTCCGTTAAAACTTATTTATATTATTTCTCTTTGAAATCACAACTTCTTTTGGTAAATCCACCTCCGTACATTTATATCTCACGTTGTTAGTGGATGTGATGCTAATTTCATTTTTTCTGTTTTGAACACGGTTCTGATAATATTGATTTCACAAGGACAAATAAAGTATATATCTCTACTTTAAATTGTTAATGGAGAATCTTGCAAACGAGTATGGTTTCTCGTCCACTTTGAATTATTTAAGGAAAATGAAACAGTTCCTTTTTTAGTTTGAAAGCAGACTAGGAACACAGACGCCCTTTACCAATATGAACGATAGGAATCCGCCCACATCTAATTGTCGTGAACGCTACACCCCTCGCTTCTCAAATTCCGTGGAAACTCTCAGTTACAGAATATTCACCGTCGCGCTATCGCCGCCAGAGCATTAGCCACTGCTTTCTCAGTCGGTTCAGTAGCTTCTCGACTCTGTACGTTGCTCGTCGCTGTTTTGCGGAACGCAGCTTTAGTGTAGTGTACGTATATTAGTGTCTTAACAGCCGGTATTGTCACCTTTCGGTGTAACCGTGCCCATTTCCGTCCCGTTCCTTCGCAGCCATCACCACTCCACCCCCTGTGATATGTGTAGTGTCTTATTGGATTTTAGTGCCGACTGCCACGTTCAAAGGTCAGTGGATTTTGTTGTGCTGGCGATTTCTTTCAATGAATGCGGGCCTCTCCCTCGTTACTGTAGATACAAGAGAATATGAAGATACTGAATACACTTATTCTGATCAATCTTGGGCGATTTTTAGTTGGCCTTCAAACGAAACATTCGTAAAAATTAGGCATGGCTACAAATTATTTTCAAGTGTTGTACATATCCGATACATTTTTTATAACTTGATGGCTTTGAATCCATTTACTGAATCCGTTCTGTAACTGTACTTTAGGAATTATGTACAACCGTCTGAATAGGAAATATCTACACAAGGAAAAGTGTTTCGGACGTACGTTCATCTTCAGCGAAAATAGCAACTGTCTTCTATTCCTAATAATAATGAGGTGACATTTTAATATGAAGTTTCAACACGTTGTTTAGTTGTGACTTCCTCATCGTGTCTTCTGAATTTATAAAGTTCCCAAGTACCTATATCAGATTTAACCCTAAGAAATAGGAAGAAGTTACATTTTTTCAATTTATGGAAACTTATAATCATTATCTAGAGGTTGATTTGCTGTTATATATATATATATATATATATATATATATATATATATATATATATATATATATATATATATATATATATATATATATATTTTCTCTCTATAATTTGAAACGTTCTTTAATATAAGGTCACATACAAGAAAAAGTTATATGGAAAAAATTGAATTTACTCATATTATGTAGGTCTCCAATGCAACGGCATCAAACTCACTCTGAAGGTCATCGTTTGCACTCGAACTCAATCTGAAGTAAGTTTTAGAAATAACAATGCAGAATACAAGGTGAGCTTGCATTTTCCACTCTGCTTATAGAAAAATAATTAGATATTACTGAAAGGAAAGATCCAAACTACTATTCTTCAACATCGAAATTATGAATGTTCCTCAATATTGTACCTAAGTAAATACTTTTATTTTATAGTACCTAATTCATGGGTAAATTACAAAAATCATCAACATCGTAAGAAAACATGAAATTGTTTTACAAACATACATAATTAATAACAATTATCAGGTTTTTGTATTTATCAAGCGTTCAGCCAATAACACTTTGAGCACTTTTAGAAAATTATTTCATGACTATGTTTACAAATAATTTAATACGGTAGATTATGTAGATTATATTTGAATAAAATAACGATGTTGATTTTTACGTCGTCATCTAATAGATTCATCTAGTTTTTTGATTTTACACCTACTTAACAGTAATAAAAGTTGATTTAGCATCTGAAGAGGAATTTGTACTTGGAAACGCGCGTCATGCGTATTATATAATATATGAGAAAATTTCAATTAGTGTTTCATTATGGATATTAATTTTCTCCAAGCATCGGCCTTATCAATCATTAATTTTAAGCATTCTCCCATTTTTTATGGCTATAATAGCAATGAGAATTATGGATAAAACGGAGGAATCTTCCGATTGGCATTTTTCGAATACAATTGTAGTTGACTGGCCGTCAAGGACAATTCAATCAACCTCCTTGGGCTGCCCATTTTCAGCGGATTATACGAAAAGTACAAACTAATCATTATAAAAACTTCAAAGTAACTGCTACCGGGAAAACAATGCGTTATTCCAGAAGTAATCATATCGGTCAAAGACACTTGTCTTCTTCTTCAAGTGTCATTAGTGGTTACTGCTTAGTTCAAATTCAAGTTTTCTGCATGTTAAACACTTAGTTGGATAGATTGTTCTAATGAATTGAGTCCAATATTTCTATTTTAGCGGTAGTATATTTCAGAAGATGATGGATATGCTTGTACTTAATTATTATTTATGAAATAGCGCAGTCAACGCAAAGTTGGTTAGTATTTACATTTACATTACACATGACTCGCAATACAGTTTCTTATTTCGACTGCTTGGCAATGAATTTACTGCATAATGGCGAAGATGAAAATTCATTTGGATACTAGTACTGATGGTGTGGAAATCGCCATCGTTAGAGCAGTGTTCAGAAAAGTTTTATAAAGATCTGAAATTTCGCTTTCATATATCAAGTTTTCACATATAAATTTTAATTACTATTTTGAAGAAATGTATTGAAAGGAGTCGAGACATTTTATCAAATATATCGATTATTATCTGACGGAAAAATATTATTGTATGATTATTCTTCCTTATAACCTGTACTCATTTTAGGATATTGAAAACGTTCCAGGAAGAAAGAATATTCATTAGCAGAGACTCGTTATTTTATAACCATACTTCAATATTTTTGTGAGTGAAGACGACTATAGTTAATAACACTCTATCAGCTTTCAGAGGTGTATTCTTTTGAACTTCTCATTCTTCTTCATTTGGAAGGCTGTCTGTTTGGTTTTAAAAATTTTAAACTTTGAAAAAGTACCTAAAGTTATCAGCAAAGTAGATTGAAAACTCTTTTTAGGATATTTTTTCGATGTGATAGGTTGTTTTTCAAATTACGTATTCCCTAGAGTTGTGGCAGAGTGACCCTGACAATATTCTAAATGAAAACCTTCTTTCATGGAAAATGATTGAATTTTATATATGACGGAACAGTTAATCTCCTCTAAGACTATTAGCGTTTCAAGGTCAGATTTACGTTCAGTTAAAGTTTCCTCCACCGCAGTGATTGAAAAATTATAAAAGTATGTCTCATAATTACCGACTTATTTCGCTTATGGACCAACAGATGACGCTAATACATTTATTCTAATAACCAATTGTTCCGTTATAGACGAATTCATGTTACCTAATTATGTGCTG